GAACATAATACAACCAAGACCATCCACCTGAGCTACAAATATTCTCCACTATTTCGGAATAGAGTTTTCTCCATATGTGTATGTAAAACCCCCTGTTATTACTACTGTAATAGTAGTAGATGAAACTAATGAGACTATATTTTAAACATATACAGACAATCCCAACATACGAAATCGATTTGAGTTTCCTTAAAGGCCATCTTAACATCTGTTGAGATAACCAATCATGTTCCTGTTTTCTTCGAAAAACTACAATCCCAGACAGAATTCCAAAATCCGATTGGTTACTTTAGCAGATTCTATGATAACCTTAAAGGCTACTTCTTGACTTTCTTTTACAAACACATTACACAACGAGAAAATGTTCAATATCATTCGACTATCTGAGATAGCCGTAGTTTGGCAGACTAGTATTTATACTGAGCGATGATTGAAGGTGAAATGAAGATTTAGACCGCGACAGGGTTTCCGGTCCGATGCTTCACCGACATAATAAACCAAAGTGGACAGAGATTTCTCTCTTACAAAGACAGTAGCTTTTTATAAGCGTTAATACACGCATCGCCATTGTTACTGGTCATGGTTACAATTCACATCGTGGTGTTGATATCATGATACGTGACACACACATACATATACACATGCAATCAGATGTATCCAGAACATACCATGAAAACTGATTCTCTTTAGTGAATTGCAAGTGTATGGCGTGTGTGTGCTTAAAATTATAACCCAATCAGTGATATCAATTTTACAAGACAAATATACCATACCACTAAAGTATCTCTTTCTGTTTACCTGCCTGTCTGCTTATTCCCATCTCTATATGCCTAATTATGCACATATATATATCAAGATAGCGGTCTTTCCACCACCTCATCTTCTAATGCTAAACACAGGATATAACTTTGCATGCTCACATCTAACATTTTATGTTTGTAAAATCGTGTAAACATCATGTGTCAAGACAACAAAATGCAAACAAACACGAATAACATATAGCGTTAATTATGCCTTTCCTCATTGCAATTTGCAAAAAACAACATTGATGATAATGTTATCATCTGCAATTGTGTTGATGAGTTGACAAACTAAACTGGAGTATACTAACATTAACAAAAACCACAATGGAGAATCAGGGAGAAGACAGTTTTACTGAGTTGCAAGCAGCCAAAAAGTGGTGGATATACATCTTAAAAAACCTAATGAGGTCTTCACTTGGTTAGAGGCAACTAACAAGAAGCCCTGCTTGAAATCCGCTTATTGGCGCTCATCAACAAGGTGTATCTACAAACGTCGAAGGAGCTAACGTCCCCCTCCCTGAAATTTGGACCTGCGCTGCTCAGTGTTGCAGTCAATGACGTTACCACTGAGCTAATTTGATCTCAGATGGCCTCCTGTAGGACTGGATTAAATACAGTGATTGGTCACTGGAGAGCAGTCAATTTCATGTTGTCTAGTCCTGAGTGCTGACCGAATAGTTCAGTGGTAATGTCGCTGACTGCAGCACTGGATGATACGGATTCTAATCTCAAGGGGGACATCAGTCCTTCCAAAATTGCAGATACGCCTCAGTCACAAGAACTAAAAAGTACGAAATACATGTCGAGCAAAGCTTCCCGCCAATTACCGCCAGTCAACTAACACTCATCAAAGTGCAGCACGATGGTGAACTTCCTAGTTTAATGACCAGGAACAGACAATATGAAATTGATAGCTTCATCCCTTCCTCAGTCAACAATCAATGAATTAGGTCATTCTCATCATGAACTAAAGAACTAGGTAAAAAGATAATACAGACAATCGGTTTCAGTCAGATTTTATTGTTTAGTATTCAGTAGGACAAAACCAAACAGCTAATTCAGATCTAGTAATTCAGTAGTAATACGCCATATAAGTTGCTTCGTTTTAACTTATGAACTCTGGTGATAAAGAACAGAATAGACGCTAAACATCATTTTTATCTTCTAGGTGTCTTCTGAGGACACTTTGGTTGATGTGTGAATTACCAAAAAAGTAATAGTAATTTCTAACTAAACAGCTTCTAAAAACCGACAACATGAACAGTTTCACGAGTAAGCAAATTCCGACGGTAAGTCAAAGGGTAATACGTTTTTTAAATTCGTTTGGATCTGCACACCAATGAAATCTTTAAGTTACCTTCAATATATACCTCATTCGACTCTTCCTTGAATTATAAACAATTTCTTTCATTTCTGTTACATCATACAAACATAATCCGTAAATACAGTTCATTGGAGTTGTTTACCTTCAAAACAATTGGTATCTGTAAGACCTATCTAAATGAATGACTTTAATAAAAAAGACCACCCTAACTGCTGAAATAAAATTTCGGTCACCAGTCGGACTTCGTAGTTCAGTTGGTAACCCGCTGGTCACTGGTTCGAATCCGGCCGCGGTCCAAATTTGTATCTCATCTTCAATCTTCACCCAGTAAAAATACTAGTCTGCCAAACTACGGCTATCTAAAATGGTCAAATGATAATTATGATTCTTTGTTTTATGAAGAACTAAATTCACAGCCGAAACACCAAAACCTGATTGGTGATTTCATCACCAATTGTTAGAGTGACCTTGAAAGTCATTTACCTAAAAGAGTGACTTTAAACGCCACTCTGGCACCAACGAAAATGACCAACTAGATTCCTTTATATTTCGGCTAGAAAGGCAAATTTTCGTAAAATCGAGAAGCCTGATTGGTTATTTCAGTCGCTCCTAGGATGGTCTTTAAAGTCACTCATCTAAATCGATCAGCAGAAAAGATGTATGGACTTGGTTTATTGAAACTACAAAAGGGTGAATCAAAGACCAGCTTATCAATAACTGAAATAACCAATTAGATTTCTCTATTTCGGCTGAAAAGGTTGACCTTCATAAAATAAAGAAGTCTTATCGGTTATTTCCGTTGTTTTTAGAGTCAATCAAAGTAACCAGTCAAGTTTCTTTATTTCGGCTGGAAAGGTAGATTTTTGGAGTGACTATAAAAAGGCACTCTAGCAACTTCTGAGAACCAATTACACCCCTCTATTCTATGAAAATTCCGAAATTCGGTTAGTCAGTTTAGCAGTTGCTAGGGTGGCTTTTGAAGTTAGTCGAATTTACGTAAAATAAGGAGGTCGAATTGGTTATTTCAGTCATTGCTAAGAGGGGGTTGTTTAAAGCCAAACTTTAGAGATACTCCACTTGTAGTTTATCAAACTGATACATCTTTTGTAGCTGTGTGTTTAGATGAGTAACTTTAAAAGCGGACCAACAACTGCTTAAATAACCAATCAGGTTCTGGCCTTTAGGCTGGATGGTAGTTTTCTCATAAATTGGAGAACTGTAATAGGTTACTTCAATAGCTGTTAGGGTGGTTTTTGGGACACTACTTTGAATGTGGGTTACTCTAAAGGTCATGGACGACTTTCAAGACCACCCTAGCAGCAATTGAAATAACCAATTAGACCTCTATATTTCATGAAAATATACTTTTCTAACCGAAATAAAAAAAGCTAATTGGTCATTTCGATTGCTGCTAGGGTTGCCTTTAAATTCGCCCAAAGGTCACCCTAACAACAATTGAAACTACCAGTTAAACTTGTTTATTTTATGGAAACTGCCTTTCGAACCGAAATGAAGAGACATAATTGCCTATCATTAGTCGTGGGCTTTACAACCACTCTTATAAATGTCAAAATATTCTCTTGTTAACAGTGGGAGAAATGACCTGGAAGTATGTTATTTCTAACTATCCCCATAAGCTAAGGAAACAACAATTTCTAGACAACAATGTTATTCGTGTATGAATATGAAAGAACTTTATATCAGAAGCTAATTGTTTCAGGTGATTACTTTCTTCTCAGAAGAGTATTTAAGCTTCTGAGATTCTTTTCACCTTATCTACCCATGCATCTACCCCCCCCCCCCCCACACACACACACACACACAATATCTTAAGGCCTGTAATCACTAGATACTTTGAAAACTCTTGAACACCAGTCATTCGCAACTGATGCATTTTATTTATTAAAAACAACAGTAGTATTCAAGTTGGTATTCATCATGGAATGATATAAGTTGGAGAAACATTCAAAACCTTAGAAAGCCGGACAGCTGTTTCATCCTAGTATGCAACTTCTCAGTAGTGTTCAATCCAAGATAGCCAGGAATGGAGGTCGCGGTATATCGTGAACTCGCAGAAGTAGGAAATATGGATCATTGGATTCTGACCCACTGGCTCATTGGTAACATGCTGGCCGCTGAACTTAAAGGTCCTGGGTTCCATCCTGCTAAGGAGTCCTATACTAGGGCGAAACAACTGTCTAGTGCTCCCAGATTTCCAGTGTTCTTGCAAGTGATGTCAGCCCATGATGAACATCAACTTCAAATCAATGAATAAATCCCCATAAACCTCTAAATTGAGTAATTAGCGATCTTATCCGGTTGTTTAAACCTTGGTAGGCAGAGCAAGGATTGAAACCTGTGATCCAATAATTGAAGATTCAGCACGTGAATAGCTGATCCATAGCTTAAACTACCAACATTTTCGTTAAATCATATTTACACTTTACCGCCGTTATGCATGCACTTTTTAGTGATGTCCATAAAGATAAGATTGCCAAAATTGTCTGGCTACATGTGAGACAAGTACGCAACGAGAAGTTAGCCAGGGGATAGCGCTTTGGTGTTTCTAGCGATGGTTTATGAGTTCGAGTTCAGGCGGGAACCTCATCACCCAATGAGGTCCAGGTGTATGTAGCTGACGAGTTCCAAATAGGACGAAACGCGGGTCCTGAATTAAACCGTTATAACATAAGGAATATTCAGGAAGTATCAAGGCATTCGCATAACAGTCCATCTACTAGACGAGGTCGACTCAGGATGGCAACTGTAAATCACAAGCATCAATAAATAAGAAAGAATGTGATAATGAGTGTAATTAACGAATAAGTTTTCATCTAAGTAATGTCTTTCTGTATCTGAATGATAAAACTTACTTATTTAATTTCCGCATAGACATCTTAATTGACTGGAAATCTGGTCTTAAACCCGGATCATCATCCCATGCTTGACAAATTAGTTGAACTAAATCTTCAGAACAACCCTCTAATGAATCCAACGTTGGTCGAAATGGTGGCTTTCTATGCTCTCTGACTTCTTTGACAATATACTAAAGTGAAAAGAAAACAAATATTATTTTTTTAGTCGGACAAAATCCATGGTGATTGAAGTGCAATAAAAATCTGATCAGTAGTTGGACCTCGTAGCTCAGTTGGTAGAGCATCGGGCCGGAAACCCAGTGGTCGCTGGTTCGAATCCGACAGCGGTCCAAATCTTCATCTCACCCAGTATAAATTAACAAAAACTAAGCGGAAATATGAAACTAAGTATCATTGTCTATTAGACTTCATGAGATAGCATTCGTTTGATAGACTCATCTTAAAGTAAGTGAGGGAGGGGGTAAACTAAGCGTATTTATTGCAAGAATTGAAGATCTTGGGATCGATTGCGCATAAGTTCTTAATTGAGAGCTTCTCATAATCCCGTTAACTAGGACGTAGGAGCTGTTCACTGCTACTCATTATTAATTGGTTGCTTAGGTGATACACTTTGGTGATGTGAACTGTCGTCAGATTTCATGCTGATACACCATCTAAGTAACCTACATAGTGTGTGTTTCATTTTCTTGTTCCGCATTTCAGAAAAATAGGTTTCATTCGTAGTTTTGGTATTTTGGTTATTCAGATAAAACCTTAAGTGTTGATAAGATGCATCTACCAAAGATATTACAAGTGTCGCCAGTAAGTGGCTACTAAAGTCGACAGATATCCAAAGGCAAGAACAGCTTGGAACCACACAGACAAGTGTATCGGTTCAAGTGGCTACAATTCACCGTAGCATACAAAAACAGTGAAAAGAAAAACAGTGATATCAACCATGTCACCAAAAATCTCCAACCATGAATTCCTAGTATCTCGAAAACCCTAACTAGGTAGTCTACACCTCTCAACACGGCTGAGACCAGACTTAATCAAAGACTTAGTCGACTGGTGCCACATCCTAGCTCCTTTCCAACTTAATCCTATTTCAATTAACACTGAATGCCGAGATTAAATTTTGTATCGATCCCATCAACCAACTTGTTATACAACCGTCCTAACCTCAAACGCTGCTCACACGATGACTACACCATATTTGAGCGATGCTGTGAAGACACTTGTGGTCAACAACCTGTAACCTTTTCATATCTTTTGTTTTCAGTAGCCATATCTCACAGTCGAATAACAGGACAGAGTGAAATGCAGCTCAGAATACTCGTCTTTTAATAGGTAGTCAGATATCTCTACAGAATCAGAGATGGCGAAATTTAGAAAATGACAAATGGACCTTCTGTATCCTAGCTGAGATTTCGTCAGCCACCGACCCATTTGAGCCGACTTGACTTAAGTACATGAATTGGTCAATGCATTCTGTCACTACACTCCCTATGCTTAAATTGTGAGTAGCTGTAGACCAGCGTTGAAGTATCATCTCACTCGTGACAGATGCAAAAAGAGTGCCGAACATACTCAGATTTTCGCTCAAGGCCTTCAGAAGACTTTGTATTTTGTCATCTTCTGCGTACTGTAGTTCAGCTGGGTTCCCTTCGAGGACCAAGTCAATCCATTTTAGGTTGGAGGTACCTATTTTTATATCCGTTAGTACGCACGTCGGAAAGTTAATCAGGAATAGTGACAGTGGACATCCCTAGGGGACACCAATGGTTGTCATTAATTCAGAAGACAAGTTTCCCAAAGCCCCCATACAGCTGCGTGAGTTCAAATAGAAAGTCATGATCATTATTACATAAGTGCTTGTTACTAACTCCATAGTCAAATACTGCCACAACAACCCTTAGTCAACAAAGTAGAATGTCATCTCAGGTGAAGAAATTCGGTAAGTCTTGCTCCAGAACCTGTTAAAGTGTACCAAATTTGAATATTCCCTTAATACAATACTCCTAATTGGGACCTAATTTTCTGGTTTTGTAAACGATTCACTTGTTAACTACAGAGTAAGCCTACCTCTTCTATTATGGAAGAAAAGCAATATACAATATGAAAGGTGGAAGTAAGATGAAATTTTAACTACCATACCATATACGCACGGTTACTATCAGTTCAGGTACTACGATGAATATATCACCAAATCATGAACGAATACGAAAGGATGAATATGTACAGACGGTTCTATCAACTTTCATATACGACAAAGTGTATAGCCAATAATTTGTGAAATATCAGTATGGATGACTTGACTATCGCTCATATCCATCTTTCAAAGTAAAGTATAGCTACAGACAATCTCACTGATATAAAGTTCATATACAGTCACCCAGCCTGCTCAAACCTTTGGCTACGAAAAAAATTTCTCACCAAATATATTTCATTAAATTCTTCCCTTTAAGTTTGATAAAATCTTTCGAATGTGTCTTCTAAATGTTTTCAAACTTTTATTTCTCAAGTTAAGAATGAAACAAGGATAAAAAACGATGCTCTGAATGGAAATGGGCATGTGAATGTTCAAAAATATATGACATTGCTATTCATAGGATACCTACAACGGATTGCAGATTTTTGTACTAGGTGATTAAACCTACCACTAACATAATTACACTCAATTTTGTATTCATCCTCAAGTTCAAACCAGACTATAACATAATACCAGCTATCCATTTCACATTTATGCCTTTGATAACGTTGTTATTAACACTATTCATATGCAATAATTATTTCTTGTTAAAATATTATACGGGGAGTGTATCTGTTGAAATATTACCTGCTGAAAATTCCACAATGTATTACACATATTGTTTTGAATAAAGTGATTATTATTATTATTATCATTATTGTATTCTGCGATTGAGTTCACACTTTATTAGTGTTAACTAAATTGAAAAAACCTCATAGTAATAGGGACTGTTATGAATTCCCTGGCCATACCGTCACAGAAACTGGACAAAGACATACAAGTTGCCAAAGTTTCAAACGTTCTGTGCTTGAAAAATAGTCATATGGAATGATTTGTGCTTCAGTCTGTATTAAGTAAGTATATTAATTATCCAACTAATCAGCATTCACCTTCTTCCACTGATAGTTTGCTACTACGTGATTAAATACCAGTTAAACTCTTTCTCAGAAAGAACTTACTGTTGATAAGTATCAAGAAGTTAAGTAATAATATTTTTGAAAAACTACATCTCTGCCTTCTTGTCAACTGTTTTCAACTATTCAATACCAGTTGTAATGTATGACAGTGTAGACTGACTGATTGACTGACCAAAGTGTATGAAAAGTAAGATTAATCTTTATTTCCTTAAATAGAAACTGAATAAAAAGATAATGAGAAAACGAGGATCATTTGATTCTGATCCAGTTGCTCAGTGGGAAAGTATGCACTGGTAAGTCTGAGGGTCCTGAGTTCGATGCCTGGTGGGATCGTGGATGCACACTTTTGAAGAGTCCCATACTACGACAAACAACTTTTCAGTGTTCCTAAGTTTTCCAAGATTCTCTAACTGATGTTATTCCGTGATAAAATCAATAAAATAAATCCCCACAAACCTCCAAATTGAATTACTATCCAATGCTGATTAGTAACCTTCTTCAAGATGAGATCTCTCAAAGTTCTAAGGAGAAGTCGTGCTGGTTAAGGCAAACCAAGTCATAAGTGAAGACAGTTACTCAATGACGTATTAGATTAAGGTCCAACTGCATCACGAATTGGCAGAAGTAGGAAAACTGAACCACTGGATGCCGACCGAGTGGCTCAAAGGTAAAGTGCTAACCGCGAAAGTTGAAGGTCCAGGGTTTGGTCCCCGGCGGTGTGAGGGCCATGGGTGCATACTAGGATGAACTAACTGTCCAGTACTCCTAGGTCCTCAATAGTTCTCAAACTGATATCAGTCAGTGATGAATACCAACTTGAAATCAACCAAGAAAATCCCCACAAGCCTTTACAATAAATTCAATGAAGATTAATTACAATTGACTAACTTACATCTGGTTCACAATTCTTAAAATTTTGTCGATAAAATACACCTTTCCGATATACAATCTCTTGACAGACTATTGCAAAACTATAAACATCGCCTTTTATTGATTCACGTGGATAAAGGATTGTATCTCCATCAGGTAATAATTCTGGAGCTGTCCATAGTAAATCTAAGCAAAAAAAAATATGCAAATAAGCATACAGTATTACAATAAGATAAAGAATACTATTTTATTCCTAAGACAATGAAAGGAAGTGGCAGATATTCATGAATAAATGACTAGATAAAGCCAGATTAGTCTGGAATACAAGTCCTTGAGATAATCTCATTGTACTCGTGTATAAGGATACACACATAGAGGTCGAAGCAATCAAGAAAGTAAGCATCAGAAGAACTGATGTAGAACAGTGTAAAATGAGGTCGAGCAATTCGACGAGAAACTACAAGTAACAAACAACAACAAGTGATACCCATTTCAGAAGTGGTGGCTGTCATGCCTTAGTTACCCAGTGGATAACGCTCTGGCATTTGAAGCGATGGGTTCGAGTCTCACTAGGAACAATATCACTCCGCACTGAGGTCCAGGTACATCCAGCTGACAAGTAACAAATAGAACAAAACATCCATCCTGAATTCCACTACGAGTCACCAAGATGAGTAGAGTATATTCATTCTAAACTGAAGTAATTAATCAGTAGATATTGTCCTCCTTTAATAATCGACTGGATACTAGTATCAAATCATCTTTTCCATTAAACTTATTGTTGCAGATTTTCTAGTAATAAGTTTTAAGGGGCGGAAATATAGGCATAGGGTTGTTAATTCATCCAAGTAACTTTCAATCATCACCCAGTATCAATAATACAAGTCTGTCAAACCACGGCTATCATAGATATTCAGATTGATAGTCAATGTGATGCTCTCCCTCTTCTCTAATTTAGTTATATTTGGATTGGGATGAGAATTCCTGACTGGCCAGTCAGTGTGAATACGATTAAGTGATAGTAGCGCGTCACAAATTCATATAGTAGTCGGGCAAAAAACCTTGGTGATTGAAATGAAATAAAAATCTGGTCAGTAGTTGGGTCTCGTAGCTCAGTTACTAGAGCATCGGGCTGGGAACCTAGTGGTAGCTGCTTTGAGTATGGTTGCGGTTCAAATTTTCATTTCACTTTCAATCATCACCCAGTATAAATACTAGTCTGTCAAACTACAGTTATCTTAGATAATCAAAATGATAAATAACAACAAACCTATTAACATATCTTTCATTGTCTTGCTTTCGCTCCCATAAATAGGATACTATCACAAGTGTGCACACTTGATTCCTTGTAAATGCCTAAGGTAGGTACCCCATTACCTTCCCATTCAAAGTTCAGGGGGGTATAACATACCTGAGTCAAAAAGGTTTAGTGTAAACGATTAAACGACCACTGGTGTTTCATTTTTAAGCTATCAGTTTTAGGATTGATTATACAGTCAAAGAGTGTGACATGAGATTTCTACATTTTGATAGGCTGGTAGATAATTTCTTGAAAACAGATATCATTTAATAAGCAAGGCATCCAAAAGGTAAGTATATGTATGCAGCAGTTATTAACCAGGTAATTGGTTTTATGTTCTATGCATTACTGCTACTATAGATTACGCGGATAACCCAATCAAGTTATCACAGAAAATTCACATATTTTTTAGTTGAATAGAGGCGATCGACAAGAAGTCCTACTTGACCTAGATTTCCTACTTTTTGGCACTTGTCAGTAAGATGTACCTGCAGCCTGGAAGGAACTGATGTCCCGCCTTAGGTTCGGATTCCGGTTCAAATAGCTCAGTGGTAATAACTTTGACTGCTGCATTGGGTGATATGGGTCAGAATCTTGGGTGGAATATCAGTTACTTCGAAGCTGCAGGTACTGATAGAGTTCCCATGAAACGACTCATCGATGTGCACCGAGAATGTAACTAGAAACACCAATCACCAGAACCAGCTACATTTAACTATAGAGTTCGACATCTCTGAGAACTCCCTTTAAATACACGTTTGATAACTTTGAAGAGTAGTAAAGTAAGTTAGTACAGCTACCAAGCATTCTATGCTTTTCATGATACTATTTTCACCATAGATATTAAATAACTTATTTTTCATGCTGTCTTTAAAAATAATATTTATTTCAAGAACCTTCTTGCATGACCTGACATCAACTGATTGTCAGAAAGCAGATAACATGAGATTACCACTTTGTCCAGGTCTCAAGTTTATCTGTAGAGTGTACTCATCATCACAGCTGTAGTGGTGTTTGGAACCGTTTACGTCTAAGTACGAGTACTTCACCATTCAGTCATTTAATAGAGGCTGAATTATTGTCATTTTACATTAACAATGAGTGTCTTACCTTAAGACAAACGTATCATAGCTGTAATAATGGCTTAAACGATTTGGCTATCTGAAATAAATCAATGTGCGTATACCGTTGACAAACTTGCCTGTAAAAGAGTGGAAAGATCGTCTAGTGTTTGCATCACCTCTCTGCTGTAAGCAAACACTGCTTCTAATTAGTCAGAGTAAGCAGGTTTCAACTACTTAGGTCCACGACATTTTAATGTTAAGCGAATCACTCTTTATGGTTAAAAATTTTCAATTTTTTAAAGTATGCTCCCGGTGGAGTCTGACAAACTGGGTTACACTTGATTGTATCGTTCTTACAACGAACTGAGGATCTTGCAAATAACCACTGATGAATGGACCAACAAATATATGACTGCTGGTGAGATTTTCCTTTAGGAGACTAACTATATTATGATTACATAAGTAAGTTTTAACATAATCCAAGTTTTTAAAGCGATCGGTCTCGGGTTTGAGTCTCAGTGGGAAAAACATCACTTACTGGGAGGCAGGTAGATCCAGCTGACGAGTCCCAAATAGGACGGAACGTACATCGTGAATTCCACTGCTAGACACTATCTATCGTTTAATTAGAATTGGAACAGAGGCAATATCGAGGTATCCACGCAGGAGGCTATATGACAATAGACATTGACCAATTCGGTCAAATCAACGACGGGATAAAACAAGTACCAACATAATCCCGGTGTGTTTAGAAAATCAAAACAAAGTTTTTCTGACCGTTTCGCAGTGTACGCCAAAGCTTTTTCAAGAGAATACTCAAACTTCTCTTAAAGATCAAAATATTTAAGGTGAAATGATACACGAAACAATTTTGGTACTAAAGTCACTGGTTAGCTGACTTTCTATTCAGACTGATGTTTTTGAATTGGCCATCAGAAATTCCTATATATATATATATATATATATATATATATATATATATATATATATATATATATATATATATATATATATATATAATCATGGACTGATGTAAGTTGAAGAACCACTGAAAACATGGGAGCACAGGACAGCCGCCTCATTCCACTACGGGACTTCTCAGCAGTACGCACACACAACCCCAACAGAGGTCGAACTCAGACACTTCAAGTCTAGTGGTCAATGCGTTGGCCATCAAGCCAGTGAGTCGGAGTTCAACCTCACACAGTTTTCTATCTCTGTCAATTCACAATATAATGCAAACATCTAAAAAGGTCTTCAGTGACTAATATCAGTTCGTGACGAATACTAACTTAGAATGAATAAAATCCACATTAACCTCAAACTACATTACTGTATTTTATTATTTGTTCTTTGGGTTCCTAGTGGAACATAGGGCTTCTGTAGCACGTCTCCATTGCACTCCACTCTCTGCAGTCTTTTCAACCTGGCTCCACCACCGCCATCAAGCTTTCATTTCTTCCCCACACAATCTCCTCCATGTCATCCTCGCCTCGGACGCCCAACTCGTCGTTTCCCATTCCGACCCCACTCGACGGCTTGGCCTGGCCTTGTGAGTTAGGTCGAATCTCTAGTCTCATCTTGATCATAATTTCCATAAGATATTTTATTCCATCAGTTATTGTGTGTTCACTTACTGTAATCCTATGAGCAGTTTTCCGGTGACCTTGGGTTGACCTTCTAGTCATTATCACTTTATGAGTTCACTGACCGTTTTTGATGACTTGGCATTGATCTATTGTCTATTAATGAATACACACTGTTGTTGTAACTATACATAAGAGTGTACAGCTTTTGAAAAAGATTCATCGAAAAGAAAATCTTCTTCACTGAGTTGTCTTTTGATAGTTTTTCAAGTTTAATTTTTTCACCTAGTGTAAACTTTTAGAATCATTTGAATATGTGATGAATAAGTTGTTGATTACATAATGCCGATGATATATATTCACCAGGATAACCTGTAACTGTACAGTTCAGTTACTAGATCTAATTGAGTAGGTTATTTCATGAGTTATAGTTATAGTTATGATGGATAGTGGCTAGTAGTGGGATCCAGGATGTGTATTTTGTCCTATTTGGGACTCGTCATCTGAATGTACCTGCCTCCTAGTGAGTGATGTTGTTCCCATCAGGACTTGAACTCGGGCCGATTGCTTCAAACCCCAGAGTGCTATCTACTACAACACCAAGCCAGGATAGCCACTTGTTGTGCGACGGGTATAGTTTTTAGTATTATTGCTTGTATTATACTGTCATTGATTGCTTAAACTTTTCAGAACATTTCATTTAATGCACAAAGTCAATTTACTGTTTCCATATGTCTGCAACGTGCAGAATGAAAACATAGACAAGGAAAACAAAATAAACACAAATATTTCAACAGACTTCTCCCTCTCTCTCCTAATGTCTGTCTGTCTGTCCATCAGTTAAATAGAAAAACTCTGAATTAGCCAAATGAATAGAAAACAAACAACTGGAAACGGTTAATTCGTTTAATATTCACAAGAATTTTCATCTTGTCCATATTCTGGTTTAGATATATATATGCCGATTTACTGTGTTAACTGTGTACTACTTACAGCTTAGTCTGCAGATTTGTACATTGTACAAAAACAAAATATTCAAATAACAAACAACACAAACTCTTAACATCCCTGCCATTTTTTCCCTTTCATATAACAAAAGTTTTGATAATATAAGTAACTCACGAGGCTCAGTGGCCTAGTAAATAATGCTTCAACGTTTAAAGCGATGGATTAGAGTCATAATGGAAACAACACAACTTCGCACTGGGGTGCAGGCACATCCACCTGATAATTCCCAAACAGGACAAAACGCGTGCCCTGGATTCGACTGTTAACCACTGTACATCATTACTACTAAGAGTTTGATACTTGGACATCTGATTAGTTTCAATTACAGAATTTCCAAGACAGATGAGATATTGGTGACTTAAATCTCTGTATGCCAAAGAAACAGGTATATCCTCTGATTCTGTCTTGGTCTTAACTCCCCTAATCTTTAAATATTGTCCACAAAGTAGTCTTATGATTTTAAAGATGTACAATTTAATAGTTTTCACAAAGCTGGCGTTTTAGAGATTCACCAACTTAATTCTGATGTCTATTTGCAGGAGAAACTTGTACCATCTCTGATTCGACCTTGGTTTCAATCCCTTTTTCTCTTCTTAGTAACTTCATCATTAGAAGTGATTTCACTGACAACACTTTCATTATGGCGTTATTTTTCTTTCCTCCACAAGTAGATGCCTCACTTTCATACCTTAAATCTAGAAACCATTGATATCTGTTTACCTTTTATGGTACTTTTAATATTTCAATCGCCTAATAGGTTCTTGAGTAATTTCTTGCTCAATCATTAGTTCATCTCTCGAGCACCACTAAGATGGTATAATCTCGACCTGTTATTCAATACTTGACTGTCATTTGTTTCCAATGCTTATGAATATTATTTTACTGTCTAAGTTAGTGATATAATCGAAATGAACAGTTTATTTTCCCTGAATGGCCTTTTATTTTCGCCAAGGCTATATGTGGCTTTTTTTGGTTCCGAATTAACTAATATTATTAACTAACTCGAAATATTACTAAACCTTAGAAATCTTGTAATGACAATCAACTACTTATAAAAATTAATATAAGTAGTATTCGTATGACAAATGCAAAAAATATTGTTAAGTTTGTTAATTTACCCATAACAGTTGTATTTTCTGAGTGAATGTATCAAGTGCTTCTTTGAACTTCTTGTCAATATGATCTTTGTGTGCAAAAAGTTCCTTTTAAATTCACTAATAATAGACAGAATTAACATATTACTATTTATTGACATACTTGTTATTCTCCTTTGTTTTGTTGGATTGAATTGTTCTACCCAGATGGGACGAAACGCGCGTCCTGGATTCTTCTGCTGGCCACAACCAACCAAATTATCATAACTAACATTCAGGAAATGTCGACACATCCGCAAAGGAGCCCATATGCTGATAGAGGTAGAACAATTCGATCCAACAAAACAACGGAGAATAACAAGTATGTCAATAAATAGTAATAGCTACTACCCATTGTACAAGAAGTGGCTGTCATTCCTCTGTGACAGTGGATTACACCTTTGCCTTTGAAGCGATGGGTACGAGGTTCTAGTCTCAGTGGGAACAACATCACCGGGGTGCAGGTACATCCAGCTGACGAGTCCCAAATAGGACGAAACACGTGTCCTGGATTCTTCTGCTGGCCACAACCAACCGAATTATCAGAACTAACATATCTGAACTTCGTGCTCATTTAAAAAGTAAGCTCACAAGTTACGTAATTATTAAAGGGAAAAAAGGGGTGTGAAGAGAACACAGACAAATTTTCTATGGATAAAAATGAATAAGATTGAAATGCAAAGAATTAAATAATGGAACAGATGAAAAAAACAACTTACTTCTATAAAAAATATAACTACCAACTTCCGATTCTGTTGGTGGCGGACCACGAATATGTGGTAGACCGAAATCAGTGATTTTCAATACAAAACGTGAGTCTACCAAGCAATTGGAACTTTTCAAGTTACCATGTGGGCCAAATATTTGATGCAGATACATAACACCCTTAAATGGAAGTTTAAAAAAACAATTCAAATATACTTTACAACTAACTTAGTAGAAATATTCTTGTTTCGATTTATTGGTAAAAGTAAAACTGACTGAGTATTATGCACTTTAAAAAGTATGTGTAAAACATACAGTTACATGTAAAGAAATCATTATAACTCATCAGTTGCATAACAATTATATGAAGAAGATGGTAAGGCACATCAAATGTGTAAGAAGTTATGATACTATGCAGTACAATGTGCGATAAGATCACCGAAATCCGCATAAGAAGCCGTATATTCCTGAAGTCTTTCAAAACCAATCATGTCACTGCAAAGCTTCAACAAAAAGCATATGAACCTACGGGCAAACATCACATAGGTTGAAAAGAAAAATCGATGGGATCAGCTTTCCTAGGAACGTCTGGGAAAACCGTCGTATTTTGTACATATTTTGACGTTGCAATCCACCTTCTGTTATCAAACGGCCTTACGGAGGAACTGAGCAACCATTAAGGATGAAACGTGAGGGGTCACTGTCCAGGTGACCAACGTCATATATATCGCAATCGGTCAAAGCTTCACACATCTAGTTGATAGTGGTCACATAGTGGATACAATGAAAGCGTTCAAAGCGATTTATCGCATCCTATGAAGTTCGAACTCGCCTACATCTGGAGCTATATAAATTTCAATGAATGATCCGTTGCTCTATATTGGGAAGAAATTCGCATAGCCTTTATCCCTACCTTGGGCATGAAAAACCTGATGGATAACCTTACCTACGGATTTTTAAAGGGATCTTCATCCTCTGTATATTTTTATTTTCGTGATCCCTTTCACATTACTATTATATTCACGTTCTGACTTTTTTTATTTATTGCCTTCATCCTTCAGTAGTACACAATCTCATTGTCATTTTCAAGCTCTGACCAAATTCGACTGTCTATCTGAATGTCTGTCTACATTATCATGCCAATCTGAACATTCATATTCTCGCTTACACTACCACTAATGATATATATATATATATATATATATATATATATATATATATATATATATATATCACTATCCATGCTCATAAATACTATTTGAATGACAGTATCACTCATAAGGTGAACTCAAAACTATTCAAAGTAGTTACATAATCGAATACGATGAATTTGTTATCATCATTATGGCTGTTAACAGCCGTAGAAAATATGCTCATTGCATATTCCAAAAATGTCAACACAACAATTCATTTATGAGCTCATACACACTTGAGCTATTTCAGAATATGATCAACTCGTCCAAGTTCATACAGTATGCATGAACCTAGGCTAACTGATAGAAATATCCATAAATTGTCTTTCAATATGACCCATGAAAAGGCTTAAGTAAAAAGATTCAAACTGATGAAAATGTCAATAAATAAGCAGAAACTAGTGCAGAAGATATAACGACCAATGCATATAGTATACTAAGGGATGACTACTGAAGTAAACAGAAAACTCGGATCACTGCAGGATAACGATCAAGGATTTCAGGGTTATCAACCCAATCTACTTAATTGCTGAATAGGCAAATTAATCTGTCAACTAAGCTTCATCTCAGGGGAAAATTATCAATAGTATGAAGAAGGAAATAATTCCGAGACTAGTCAATGTTACCAACATCAAAGAACGAAACCATGAATACCTATATTACTGGTAAGAGTGCTATTTGATATCTGTGATAAGTGGATCAATTAACTAATCCCTAAGTAGACCAATCATAATTTACTTTGTGCAGTTTACGACCACAGTTATACTGACAGATAACCAATGGAATACTCTTCTTTTATACACCAGTTCTACGTATTATATGTCAATACATTCTCTTTTTCATATAAAACTTTCGGATCTTCTGTCTAAAATACATGTTCTACTCATCTCAGTATGTCTTTGCCATTAATTAGCTGGGTAAACAAATCAACTAGGAAGTTTTAGAATGTTGATGGCTGACAGTTGATATTCATGCACCATTTAGCAGCTATACAAGTTGGTGCATTCCAGGACAATTTATTAACACTAATAAAGTAGGAAGCATAATAATAATAATTGATTATCAAGTTACTATCCACCACGGACTGACATCAGTAGAGAAACAATCGAAAACCTGGGGTTACCGGACAGGTGTTTCGTCCCACTAAGGGACTCCTCAGCAGTACGCGCCCATGACCCTGACCCCAGGGATTGAACTCAGTGGTTCAGTAGTTCTCCAAGTGAAGTCAACCTGTAATAAATACTACTTCAGATAACACTAACCCCTATTATATCCCCAGTTAGTTTTTCACGAATGTTAGTCTTTAAATACTACACTGATCATAAAGATGAAAACAACTCGGAAACAAAAGCAACTTCACTGTCCATAATAACCGTAGTTTGGCAGGGTAGTATTTATGCCGGATGATGATTGAAAACGAAATGAAAATTTTGTCTGTGATAGGATTCGAACCACCACCCGATCACTGGGTTTCTGGTTCGATGCTTTGAGCTAAGAGATCCAACTGCTGACCAGATTTCTTTTTATCTCATTTCAATCAACAAGGGTTTTGCCTGACTACATAGATCTTCCTTTTCAATTAGGTCTTCATCTTCAGCTCTACACTAAAATATGGGTTTATAATTTCTATCAAAATTACTGTGGATTGTTTTAGATGTTGGTTTCGCAAACTAATCACCATGATTTAATTAAGATCTATGGTTATTGTTAATCACTGTAAACAGTACTAGCTTAGCTTACTAGGTTAAGATGAAATTCATTATGTGGTTAATGAATGTAATTGGTCGTCGGTACAACCTGGTTATATATATATATATATATATATATATATATATATATATATATATATATATATATATATGAGTGCATACTTGAAAAGTAACCATCAAAATTTCACTCTTGATGGTCGCTCAGTTTCTCATCAAACAAAAAGGTGGTAAGAGAAAAGGAGGTGGCTTGCAGTGTCAAATTATGTACAAAATCCAACGGTTTATAATACATTTGCAGTGGCCTTGACCATTTCTAGATCTTTCCGGAAAAGCATGTCCTACTGACTTTGACTATTTAACCAATCTGATATTTTCAGGTAGGTTCATGTGCTTTTTGTCGAAGCTTCACAATAACATGATTGGTTGTGAAAGGCTTCAGAGATATAGGACGTCTTATGAGGATTTGGGCAATCTTATCGCATGCTAAACAGTCGTAAGAAAGAACTTAATCAATGGAATCAAAACCTAGTGAGTTTACCACAAACTAGTGCCTTAAATAACTCTTGAATGTAGATATCGTATATTAGCTAATTGCGGTCAAATTCATACCGAACAATGTTAGTTTGTAAGGATATACAAACTGTCGGTCAGATAACACCCGAAACGACAGTACTAACAAGCATCAGGAAAATTCCAGTGATAGGTGCATAGTAATCACAGATGGACAAGCAAGTTAAAAAGCTGAAGAAACAATTAGTCAAGAAAAGATCTGTGATAAACTCCTTTCTGAAAAAGCCGATAAGAAATAATGACCGATTTGTTACTATCTTAATAGTTGGAAGAACAACAACAACCAAGACATGAATATGTCACAGAATGAACTGTGGAAGTATGAAATTCTGTCGTCTTTGGATCAGCCAATAAAGTGAAGGGTGATTGTGCGGTCATTCTGGTGAGCATTGAACTATGTAAAGGATTTCATCGATTATAGATAGGCTTATGCATGATTTTGATGGTGATAGTTTCTGTTGATCCAAAAAAGATTCTTACTCCTATTATTATCTTGCACTATTTTCAGATCTTAAACAGTTATTCATGTGTCTGCATTATCTTATAAAAGACAAGTTCTCACTAGAGTATACTTTAGTATTAAATTGCACGCTTTAAAACTAAATCATAAATCTTATTTCAACTCCTTAAACTCTACCATCTAATTTCAAATAAGTTCATAGTACTCATTAAGTTGTAAAGTAGCGATTAAACAGTGAGAAGAGCCTCTTATAAATTTTCAAGTATTTTGGTTAAAAATCTATAATTTCTTATGTAATATATTTAATAGCATGAATATAATGTTTTTTTGAAAACTCCAAACTCTAATTTTCAAATAAATCTACAGGGGTTCATACAAATAATTTGGAGATGTTAGGGGATCACTTGAAGGTTTATTTACTTCCATATCACAGTTTAGAGGATTTTCTTCTCATGTTGTCACATGAACTATTATCTTTATCATAAGTACTTTTACTCTTAAAAAAAATGCAGTCGAAAACCTAGATAAGTTTTTAAAATTCTTTAAAAACTCATTAATATTATAATTTCATTTTATTCATGTATTATAAATTATGAAGAAAAAATTGGTTTCCTCGTTAGTAAGTTCAAGGTCACTCAGTAGCCTCGCTCGAGGACGGCAAAATTATTTGATTCCACCGAATGGACTTAAAATTAAAGAGCGAAAAACATATTATAACTATTAATTCAGATAAACAAGTCACTTATCCACAACACAGTTATTCATTATTTGAAATTCAAACAAGAAAATGTCAACTTAGAGGTTTGTGAAGATCTATTGCTTTTGGGTTGATATTCATCATGGACTGATATCAGATGAATTAATCTAGTATTCATTAGTGACTAGGTTCGAGAGGTGATTGCCGAAGTTCCAATGAGAAGTCGTGATCGATGAGGCCGGCTAAGTCGAACATGAGGACAATTACTCAATGACAGCATTGGGTGGGGGTCATACTATATCGTGAACAGACAGAAGCAGGAAGTATTGAGTACTGGACCCCGGTACAGTAATTCAAAGGCAACGTGCTGGCCGCGGAACCTGAAAGTCCTGGTTTCGACCCCTGGGAGGGCGAGGTCACATAGGCAAGCACTGCTCAGGAGTCCCATACTAGGACGAAACAGCTATCCAATGCTCTCACGTTCTCAGTGTTTCTCAAGCTGATATCAGTCCATGAAGAAATTGTCAACAAACCCAGAAAAAACACTCAAT